GCCTGATCTCCAGCAGACGGGATGCCAGGTTAGATGGGCCCATGGATCTGATAGCCGGTGGGGCGGTGAGCTCTACGTCTCTATGGGGAGTGGGGGACTATGGGGGGGAGGACAGGAGCCCTGGGGGGGTCCCCAAAACAGGAACTAACATGGGGTCCCCCTTTTGTCTCCGCTTCCAGGGCCATCGGCTACATGATGTCCACCCTGTTCTACCCACTGGTCACTTTCCTCCTGCTCCTCATCTGTGTGGCCTATTGGGCCATGACGGCTCTGTATCCTCCGGGTGCCCCCTGCCCCCCGGCCACCCCCCTGCTGCCCCACCCACCTCCCGGCCAGATCGGGGCCGGCGCCCCCCCACAGGGGACAGGCCCCTGAGCCAGCCAGTCCCTGGCCCCCTGAGCCAGCCAGTCCCTGCCCTGGGGCCAGGTGGGAGCCGGCGCCCCCTAGAGGGGACAGGTCCCTTGCCCCATTTCCTGCCCCCCTGAGCCAGCCAGTCCACCAGCAGCTCCAATCCAACAAGAACCCCTCACTTGGCACCTTTGCACAGTGGCCTCTGAAACCTATTTATTCTGAATTCCTTTTTGGGGTACAGTGGGGTCAGGGGGGGTCGATGTCTCGGGTCCGTCCGCTGCCCACGACTCTGGGAGTTGCCAGATGAACCGTCATTCGCCCCTCGCCAACCCCACTGTGAGCCTCAGGAGGGCCACCCCGGTGCCTCCCGTTCTGCTGGGACCAGGGGAGTGCGCCCCGGGGGGACAGAGTCCAACGGAGCCACCACTGGCCGAGGGGTTACATCTTTCTTGTTACCTATGGGGGGAAGAAAGAGGGGTGCCTAGGGAGTTACTTGGGGTGTTAACAGGCACCCCCAAAATCCACTGTACTCCCAACATTGTCCCTGACAGTCTCCCAGTGGGATGTGCTCCCCCAATATATTGGGGGGGGGCAGAAATCTCCAATATATTGTGGGGTGTGCTAGGAGGTAGCACCTTGAAGCAGTGAAAGTTTTGGGGTGCACGCAAAGAGCAGAACAGAGGAGTTTCAGGGTGCTAGAACGGAGGTGATTTCCAGATATGGCAGGATATGAGGGACCTAGAGGAATTGCATTTTGCAAACATGTGGAGCGATTTTGGGGTGCAGAATTGGGAACCCCAGAGATTAGGAGGCATTTTGTGGTGCAGGGGGACCAAAAATCAGGGTACACAAGAGTGGGAAACCCCAACAAAGATCTGGATGGTGTAGGTCAGTTTGAGGGTTTGGAACAAGAGGCTCCCCCAAATGATGGAAAGATTTGGGGATACAGAATAGATGCAGAACAGGTCAGTGGGCCCCAGAAAGATGTTAAAGGATTCTGGGGTATAGCTTCAGTTCTGAGGTGCAGAAGAGGGAGAATCTCTACAAAGAGACCCGAAATTTGGGGGGAGGGGGGTAGAACCAGGAAGACACTTTATGAATATGGAGAATTTTGGAGGTTCGGAAAAGGGGGAATCTCTGCCCATAGATAGGAGATTTTGGGGGTGCACAAAGGGGCCCCTCACAAAATCAGGGAGGGATTGGGGGACAAAATGGGTGAAAACTGGGGTGCAGGACAAGGTGAAGGCCAAATTAGGGGTACAGAACAGCTACATATTGGAAGGGCAGATCAGGGAGTTTTGGGGGTGAGCTGTAGGGAGGTGGGGGAGTTTGCGGGGGGACTCAGGGTCCAGCCAGTGGGGTGCACTCTCTTGTTTAGGTAGGGGTGGCTGCATAAAGGGGTGCCCTGTGAGTGTATTATGGGTGAATTGGGGTGCTGGAAAAGGGGGGTTCAGCATTAGAATGGGGGAGTTTGGGGTGCGGATAATGGTGTGATCCAGTAAGGGAATTCAGGACCATTTGGGGGCATGAACTGGGGACCCCAAGAGTTGGGGTGTAGCGACAAGAGGGCATAGGAGTGAGGGGGTACAGGAGTAGAGGGGCACCTTCCTGGGGACGGAGGAGGGGATTTTAGGGTGCAGAACTGGGGCTCCTTCGAGAGCAGACTGGGAAGCTTTGGGGTGCAGTTCACAGGGGTGGGGCACCCCACAGGGACTCAGATTGCTTCCAAGGGGGCTGCGTAGGGACAGGGGGCCCTCCAGCAAAGAAAGGGGGTGCACTTACCTAGGTCCTTGCGCCGGCTGGGGGGCAGGGGCGCCCCAGGGTCGTCCCGACGCAGAGCCGAGGCGATGTGCCGCCCCACATAGCGGCAAGCTGCTGGGAGAGAGACGGGGGCTCATTGAGGGGTGATCTGGGGGCGCAGTGCACCCCCTTTTCCATCCCCCCGGATCCCTACTCGGCAGCACCCGCCAGACCCTGCCTAGTGCCCCCCGGGCCCCCCTTCCCACCACCCCGCAGCTTTCCCGGGGCCCCCGGGCCCCCCACTCACCCCCAATGACCAGTCAGACCATGCCGGACCCAGCTGGGCGCTGACGTAAGCGGCATGGAAATAAAGCGGGAGGGGGGAAGGAGAGCAGGGGATTCTGGGAAATGTAGTCTTCAACACTGCCCCCTCTGCTACCCCCCCCCCCCCGGACGCCTGGGTTCATAACCCCCCTCGAGTCTGCATCAAGGGGTGAACTAATGAACACTTAACCTTGTCTCTCCCGGATGCCTGGGTTCGCACCCCTCCCTCGCCCTGAATTAGGGGGCACAGAGCCCCCCAAAAAACTCCATCTTCCCTGGACGCCTGGGTTCACACTCCTGAATTAGGGGTATGGTCTCCCCTCCCTTTACCCCATCTTTCCCTGGCCCCCGAGGGGGTTCCCACTCCTGCTTCCCCTCCCCCCGTTCCCGCACAGGTGGGGTACGATCTACACTCCAACCCCGGCACCCCAGGACCCACCCTCCCTGTCTCCCCATTCCTGCCCTCCCCCACCCCCGAATCCCCCCTTCCCCATCCCCCCCAACAGCCCCTTCTGCCCCATCCACATCTGCACCCCCTTTGCCCCCCTCAATCTTGGGGTGCATCCCCGATCTCCCCAGCTGCAACCCAGCCCCCACCCCCCCACACGCGGGGTCAGCCACCGGCAGTCATCTTGTTTGGCCAACCCCGGCGCCCAGGGGCGGAGGGATTTGGGGGGGAGACCCCCCCAGCGCCCCCAATCGTTTGCTGCTTCTTAACACACTGATGGAGCACGGGGTCCCAGCCCCCCTTCCCTTGTGGGGGGCAGGAGGGGTCTGGGCCTGGCCCCTCCCCACACGGCTCAGCCTGACTAATCGAGGCAGGCTGCGGCCTAGCAGACCCCCCCCCCAGGAAGTGATGCAAAGACAAGGGGGGGCGGCGGGGGGAGGCCGGAGGAGCGGGGCCAGAGCGCAGCCGGATCCCCCCAGTCTGCGCCCCCAGCCCCGGGTGAGGGGGGGCCGAGGGGGCACAGCTGGGCGGGGAGGAGCGAGGGAGCAGGGCAGAGACAGACAGCACAGCCCGAGCGGGGGAGGGAGCCAGGACTCCTGGGTTCTGTGTGTGGGGGCTGGGAGCCAGGATGCCTGGGTTCTCTTGAGGGGGGAGGGCTTGGAGCCAGGACTTCTGGGTTTTCTCGAGGGGAGGGGCTGGGAGCCCAGATGCCTGGGTTCTTGGGAGGGGGGTCTAGCAGATTAGGGGAGGGGGCTGGGAGCCAGGATGCCCAGGTTTTCTTGGCCGGGGCCTTGGAGCCAGGACACCTGGGTTCTTGGGGGGGCGGGGCTGGGAGCCAGAACACCTGGGTTCTCGGGCTGGGGGGTCTAGTGGTTTACTGGGGGGGGGCTGGGAGCCAGGACACCTGGGTTCTCGGGGGGGGGGGTCTAGTGGTTTACTGGGGGGGCTGGGAGCCAGGATTCCTGGGTTCTTTCTGACCCGTTTCCCCTGCCCTCTGGTTCACAGGAGCTGCCCGTCTCTGAACCCCCCAACCCTGTCTGGCTTCACCTCTTGGGGGTGCCAAGCCAGAGCCCCGCACTCTCCGCTTGGCCGAGGGCAGATGGAGGCAGCGGCAGTAGCCAATGGGAAGGCGGAGGTCGGCGGAGCGGCCAATGGGATGAGTGGTGCCAGCAGAGGCGCTGAGCCCCAGGGCACGGGGCCAGAAGAGGACCAGAGAGAGAACCTGGAGGCGCCCAATCAGCCAGCGGACGCCTGGGTGGCACCGGACGGCGCCTTCGCCAAGCAGATCCTGCAGCCGGGCGCGGGACTGGACAAGCCGACGCTGGGCGCCCTGTGCCAGGTCTTCCTGGAGGCGCCGCCGGGGGCGCCCCTGGGGTACCCAGCCAACCGCTGGGCCCAGCTGGAGCTGGGGGACGGGGACGGCGCCTGGGACGGCCTGGTGGACGCTTGCCTGGAGACCATGGGGCCGGGGGAGCGGGCCGAGCTGCGGGGCCCGGACGGGGCCGTCCTGGGGCTGCACCTGGCCTCCTTCGCCCCGGCCCCGGAGCCCTGGCAGCTGGACCCGGCGGAGAAGTGGGCGCTGGCCCTGCGGCACAAGGAGCGTGGCTCGGAGCGCTACCGGGCTGGTGAGGTGGGGGCGGCCGCCCGCCGCTATGCCCGGGCCCTGCAGCTAGCCATCGCCGCCGGCCCGGCACCCCCGGACCCAGAGCACGCCCGCCTGCGGGCCGACCTGCACGCCAACCTGGCCGCCTGCCAGGTGCGGCTCACCCAGCCAGCCCACGCCGCCCGCAACTGCACCAAGGCGCTGGCGCTGTGGCCCCAACACGCCAAGGCCCGGTACCGCCGCGGCCTGGCCCGCGCCGCCATGAATGACCTGGAGGGGGCGGCCGAGGACTTCTGGGGGGTGCTGGTGGCTGAGCCGGGGAACGCGGCCGCCCGCAGGGAGCTGGACAGGGTGGGGCAGCGGGTGCGGGAGCGGGACGCCCGCCTGGCCCAGGCCATGAGCAAGCTCTTCTCCTGAGCGCGGCGGGGACAGAGCCTGGACCCTGCATGTGGGGTGGGGTAGGGGGCCCTTCCCCTCTAGGGGGCGCCAGCTCCCATCCAGCCTCAGGGCGGGGACTGGCTGGCTTGCGGGGGGGAATGGGGCCCGGGGCCACAATAATTTTCAGTTTCGATAATAAAATTAATTTCTTAAAATACAAAGAAATCTTTTGTTGTTGAAACAAGAAAATCACGAAGTTGGGAGCAGGTCAAAGATTGTGGTCCGGCCGTTCCGATTGGCTGCTGGTTGGACAGCAGGATGTGCCGGGGTCAGGGGGCAGCGCACTGGGGTCAGAGGTCACTGGGAGTTGAGGCCTTTTCCTGCTGTAGTCAGACCCCTGGTTGGGCAAAGTCCTGGGCTCATCGACCACAGGTCAAAGGTCAGAGGTTACAGCCATTAGCTGAGCTGACAGGTGTCAGCCAAGCCCATTAACCGAGACGCTGCCTGCAGGGTTAGGGTCAGAGGTCAAAGGTCACACATGGCAACATTGGCCTGTACCATTTGCTCACACCCAGGTCGAAGGCCTGAGGCCTCAGGTGCCATTTTGGGTCAAAGGTCATCAGTCCGGGGTAATTGGCCAATCCCTGGTGGGGTTGGGTCAAAGGTCAAGCATGGACGGAACCAAAGAAAAGTGGCACGTGTAGGGTCAAAGGTCACAGGAAGTGGCCAGGTCCATTGGTTGTGCTCTGGGTGCCCTGGCTCCAAGGGCAGCTGCTGAGGAAGGAGCCAATCAGGCTGTCAGGTCAGAGGTCATGGACACTGGCTGACACTCCAACTTCAGCTCCGTGGGAAGGTCACAG